CTCAGCTATACAACTAGCTTGCTTTTTATATACAGTAATGTTTTCATATATAACCAAACTGCTTTTGTATTGATAGTTTACTTTAAACATTACATGCTTAAATACACTGATTTTTTCCTTGAATATGCCTTACTAAAATTTGTATGCATCTAATATATCCCTACGTCTTTTATGCTATCAAATATGGTAAAGGTTAGAGATAGAATGTTTTATTAAAGGAAATGTGCTTCTCAACAAGAAGCAAACTGCTATTCTCTTCAAGACGTTCAATCTCTTGGCCAGTAGACATTAATTCCACGTTAAAAATAAAAAGTGGTAGGCATCTACTCAAACATGTGTACCCAACTAAATATGTTTATGGTAATAAGAAATAATGTCGGATTAAAAAATCCATTAACTGCATATATATGTGTATGTATCAAAATTACATCACTTAGTGTCCTTCACAGATTCCTTCTTTTCTTCATAAAATCTAGAATTATTTTAGAAGGTTCTCAAATTTAAATTAGAATTCATAACATTATTTTTTTTTATCAGAACTAACTTTTTCTATGTGTATAAATATTGTTTTTTCTTATGTCCATTCCTTTTAAGATTATGTTGTTGATATCCCTCAATGAGTATATGGAAACAAATTGCTGGAGGGCCTATCTATGAAACTCTATAGTTGGGATGCTGAAGGCAACATCAATCAACTTAGTGACAAATTTTATATTGATTTCAGAATTAATTTTATATATTTATGATGGCCACAAACTTGTATTGCCATTGCTTGATCAATCTATACATGTCTTGCCCTTATATAACTCTTTAAGCAAGCCAGTGACTGGCATTGTTTATCACAAACGTTACAGCTGAAAAGACACATGGCATGTGCTGCTACTGCTTTCTGGTTATTGTTATGAATTTTTATGTATCTGTTTAGATCTCTCATTGAAGCACACCTTTTTCCATAATGTCTACATATTTTCAGACTATCCTAAATGTAGCTGTTGTGGTTCATGTGACGTCGCTGGTGACTTAGGTATTTTTTACCACATTGAGAACATGTGAAATCACATTCAGTGCTTACGTATGCTGGGAGTTCAACAGTTTTACCTTTTCCTGAGATCTCTTTTCAACTGCTGATACTTCTTCTGATCATCAAATGCGCTTGCACCTGCCTCCAGCTGCCACAATCCAAAGCATCATTCTTCTAGTCCTCAATATGTGTATTTTGTCAGTGATTTTCTTTGAACCTCATTTTAGGTTTGTATTGTGGACAACTCCCCATAGAAAAGCTGTTTTAGGAGTTGCTGATCTTCCATTCTCACCACATAACTACACCACCTAAGTCAATATTGCAGGATGATGCTTTTAACGCTCATTTCGTCTTCAGGTGTCTCCTATATGTTACCCATGTCTCACAAACACAGAGAAGGGTGGATACAATGCAGGTTTTTGTGTCTAGAGATATGCCACGTCACGACCACAAGCGATTGTTCAGTTTTCCAAAGGAAGTGCTAGCTCTGCTAATTTTCAAGGATACCTCATCATCAAGGGTGCAAAAGTTGTTTAAAATGCTGCCTAAGTACAGAAACATATCTGCACTCTTCAACTTCTGCCCATAAGCATACACAGAAGGTTCAACATATTCTTTACCAGTGACAGGTTGATACATGACAATGGTCTTATGAAAACTTATTGTCAGTCCCAGAGCAGTGCAAGCATTAGAAAATAAATCAATCAAATGCTGCCTGTCACTCTCAGAATGAGTAAATAAATCACAGTTGTCAGCATACAGGAATTCTTGGATGAGGGCATATTGTACCTTTTTGTTGACAGCCATATGCTGCAGATTAAACAGTTTTCCTGATGTGCAATACCTAATCTAGATGCCATGAGGACAATCATTAAAAGCCATTACAAAAACTATTGAAAAGTATATGGCAAAAATCATAAGAACTGGAATGTTCTCTCTGCTTGACACCATTCTCTATCAGTATTGGTTTTGAGTTTACCACTAACATACTCAGACTTTCATGTCATCATGAAAGAGATGCAAAACATTTATGAACATTTTTGCAGGACAGCCATGTTATGGTAATTTACCCACAAATGCATGGACTCTCTCAACTATAAATTGGAGCAGGTACTGCCTTTTGGAGAGGGAAGTTTCTAGCAGTCAGCTCTGACAGTCAGACTGAACATTCTTGCTGTAACACTCTTGTTTGCATATGTTTGTATCACTGTTCCTGTTAATATATTTGTTTAATTCAATTCCTCTCTTTGTGTCTTTATTTCTGGCTCTAACAAGGACACAACACTCTCCTAAAATCTTTCAGAGAGCAGCTTGATTAACTGTATCAAAAGCCTTTAAGTTAACAAAGACTTGATAAAGATCCATTCTTTGCTCTACATACTTCCCCTGTAGCTGCCTTGTAGAAAAGATTACACATACATGCATATATATATATATATACACACACACACACACACACACACCCCGTCAGTAATTAGTTGGGGTAGGCAGCTTGTGACCTTTAGGTGGTAAATCTACAAAAAATAAAATATTTTGCATTTTTCAGAGTAATCTTTATAATTTTGTTGGATTAGGTGCATATGCCACAGAAGGAAAATTTAGCTGCTGATCTATTTTATTCAGGGTAGACACTGCCTACCTAGATGGCATGTCCCTCACATACACACACGTGTGTGTATATACACACACATAAAGTATCCAGGTATTAAATATTAAATTTATCTATAACAGTAAGTTGTTTTCAAAGTACTCACTTTGGGACATTATACACTTGTCTTAGTATTCCTTTCCACGTTACTAATGAATTTGCCAGATTCTCTTTTGGGGGTCACCATTAGCTACCACCTTGGATTCTCCTTACTCTTGTCAATAGCATTTTAATGGTAATTTTAGCATTGGGCAAAAATCAGAAGCTGCAGGAATGCAAATCTGGGCTAAATGATGACTGTCACACAGTATGCAAACACTCTTCCTATTGTCTTTCTGTCAACTGCATAACCCCACAGGAAATTTGTTTATGCATATGCAATAATTCCTCCCACCTCAGTTCTTAACATTTAAAAATAGCTGGATACAATGAAAACAGACCTTGTAAATAACCATTTAAGTGAATGTAAGTTTTGATACATTTCTTACATCATTAGTGGATAATTAGCAAGATGAGTGGATTATGACACAAACAAACCTTTCAGATTACTGAAGGATAACCAACAAATAGGTTTTATATTTAAACAGAATAAATGATGACTAACAATTCTTAATTTGGGTCTCAGATGTTTAAGGTAAACATAAATACAAGTATTATTCTATGAGCAACTTCCTTACCTCTCTTTGCTTTGTTGGATTTTCAGTGTAGCTGTCAAGATTTGAAAATCCAACCTTGATCAACATGAGAAAGCCTTGCAGCCACTTGATTTTATTTCTTCCTTTTGTTCCATTTTTTTAACCTGACAAACAATTCACCTTAAAAACCACCAATCAAATTCAAACATTTAATCTACTTTTTCATTCAAATATATGCAAACTCCGGATACAATTATTTCAAACAAAACACATTTTTAGATGCTATAAAAATATCTTATTTCTTATATAAAATAACATTACTATAACACCGACTGTTAGGATATACTTACCAACAGATTTCCTTATGAGCAGTCACCCATGTGATTTTTATAAAATAATTTTATACATATTAATATTTATAGAAGATCCTGGTTTGAAGCAATTGCGTGTCTAGCCACTCTGATGAGCTGTGAAACAGTCTGTGGATGACTATATATATATATATATATATATATATATATATGCTTAAAGTGCTCAATATCAGGAATAGAGCATGTGTAAATATATGAAATATGGACGACGTGTAATGTGTGTATATTTAGGTAGAAAGAATTCATTTAGATAAGTTTTGTAAAAAGTTTGTTTTAGTTAAAGTACTTTCAACATTTCTGTCAGTATCAAGAACTGGATGCTGTCAGTATGTAAGATAACATTTTGTTGGTTATATACTGGTATGTTTTAAATGTTACAATTCAAATATATGCATATTTTATAACTGACATCATTTACTTTCAAAATTCACTGTCTGTATCTATCTGCATTGGAAAATGAATGAAATATTTATACGTATTATATTTAATACATAATATTGTTTCTTTTGTATAATAATAATAAGTTCAAATATTTTGAGTCTTTCCTTGCAGTGATTACTGGACAGTATATTGGTATTATCTAATTAATATTTGTTTCATGTTAATAGTTGTATTTTGGTTGTTTGTCATGTGATGACCAATGTGTCTAAAGTGCACTAAATTTCAATGAGGTAACCTTCAAAAAATTGGAAAACGGCTTCTCTTAAATGAAAACCTGTTTATCTAGCCAAGGATCAGCAGAGTAGCAAATTATATCTGATATTTGATCTTACTTTTTGGACAGTTCCTGTTCATATATGGCAGCAGTACTCCATTTTTGGCCTGTTCTGGTTCTTGTAAAGGTAGAGGATAGAATGAGGAGTCAGGTATTTACTGAAGTGGTACAGGGCACCAGCTGTTTTTTCCAGTATCTTTAGTGATTAATCCATTAATCCATAGGGGGGGGGATTCATACCTTTTCCAAGGGTATTTGCACATAAGTGAATATAACAAACCCAACTGGAATTGGAACTTTGCTCTCTAAGTAACAGTTCTGAGCCATTATCCATTATACCATTTGTACATCCAAGTTTATGACACCTTGTATTCCCAAGGTCACCCATCTAGTTTCTGACCAGGCTTGACATTACTTGACCTCAGTGATCATACAGAAACTGGTCTTTCAATGATGCTGTAAGCCTTTTTTTTCTTTTCTTTTTTTTTTTATAAAGAATAGTATCTTGTATATGACAGAATTATTATTTATACTTACAAGATAGTATTTATGGAAATAATATTAAACAGTTGAATGTAGATTGATTTGTTCACTTTTGTTTTATTCACAGATGGAATCAGATTTCGGTAAGACAATGATCAATGATAAAGAAATGACCCCGCTAGATCTTAATGATGAAGCACCAAAACTTGAAATCAAGACTCCATTGAATTCTGATAATCCTAAACCTGAAGCAGTTGCCATGAAAAAATCTGTGGGATTAGCAAGTGCTGTGGCCTTGATTGTCGGCACCATGATTGGTGAGTCTTTTCTTTAAATTTTTATTTGTGACATTTTCCATGAAGAATTATCAAAAGCATTTTGATAAAAAAAAAAAAATTAGTAGTGTAACAATGAAAAAAATGCATGTATTTTCCACAAATATTTATTTTTCAACATGATATCCATTCTTGTCAATGCAATTAATCCAATATCACTTTATTAATCATATAGATGGAAGTTTATACTAAATTTCAGATAAAAATTCAATGCATAATTTTATCCAGTTAATGCATAATAATAATAATGTTATTAATGTGGGCACATAATATTAGCAATATTATTAATGCCCCTTATAGGAATGTTCTCGGTTCTGAGTCAGGTATTCAGATTTTTATTTGAAAATAATGGAGACAATATTTACTTTACAGCCCTTCCTCTCTAAATAGAAGTGGCTTTTAGGTTTGAATTTAATTTGTCTGTAATCTTTGTAAACAATTTTGTTGACCTGATAATTAAAGACTGGATATTTAGTATATAATTAAGTATAAAACTTTAATTTTCTTTATATATATCTATAATTCTCAAAATGGGTGTGTGTGATTGGATGTTGTTTGTGTTTCCATAGTTTTCGTTTGATTTTGATGAATTTTTTTTGTTTGATAGATAATTCTTCAGTGCTGGTTTTGAGTCCAAATTGGCTGAAAAAAATTATGACCTTGAAGGTGAAAAATCAAAAAACTGATTTTTTTTTTTTACACTTTGCGCGAAAATCAAATGCAAAATTTAATGTCTGTAAAAACAGCATACAATCAATTTAGAGTTGAAATCTAACACGAAAGATTATTAGAATTATAAAAAAGAATTATATTATAAATAAAACTTATTGTGTATTATTATTATGGAAGATTGAGAACTCAAATTTTCAGGGCCACTCTAATTGGTAACCCCCCCATTTGGAGATGTGTCTCAGTTGCACCCAATTGTTGTTACTAATATTGATTTTCGGGTGGGCTGACTATAAATTTAAACTTAAATGAATTGAATGGCAAAAATTCCCAGTAATGAAACACCCATTTGAAGATGGGTTATACTGCTAGTTATGAAATATGTTCTTCCTTTTTCCAATTTACTTTTGTTGCTATAAGATTTTGATAAGCAACTGTTTTCAAATGCGTTTTCCTGTTTTACAATAAGGAAGTCAAGTTGTATGAATTTCTTGGAAGCATTATTATTATTTCTTTTTTTTTAATGTTGTTCAGGTCATCTCTCACATTCTCTTGATTTTTAGCCTCCTCAAAATTTAATCAAATAATCAAAAAATACTTTGGTCTTTTCTCTTAATAATAATGTAAACATTTTGATGGTAAAACTTTGTTAAAAAGAATCTTAAAAGATTTAAAACTTAATAAATTTTTCCAATTAAAATTTTGAAAAAATGAAAACAATTATATTATTTTTCTTAAGACAATAGTGTCCTTAATATATCTTATTTATAAAAGCAATTAAAAGCTTTTCTAATTAAATAATGTAGTTTTATTGCATTTTTTATTTTATGATTTAGAGCAGGTTTTTGGTAAATGGGGTTGATGATTTAAATTCTCCAAGGAATCATGGTAACAGATATAAAAAAAAAAAAAAAAAATTTACCACTTGAAGAAATTCCTATTACAAAACTATCTCCTTTTATAATTGAAAAGAACAATATATTCTCAAATTAATCCTATAACTGTAAAAAAACATGAAATTACAAAATAATAATTCAAGTAGGAAAAAATGTATGCAGACAAACTCCTCAAATGGTCAACATTTAATAATTTAAAAATCTAAACCTATCCATATCAAAATCTAAACCTATCCATATCAAAATCTAAACCTATCCATATCAAAATCTAAACCTATCCATATCAAAATCTAAACCTATCCATATCAAAATCTAAACCTATCCATATCAAAATCTAAACCTATCCATATCAAAATCTAAACACATCCAGAGGTGTAATCAAAAGTCCAGACCTGGACCCTTGCTCTCTAGAAGAAATCAAAGTTAAACTAAAAAAATCAAAATGTATTAGATGTAACCATAATAACAATTAAAAGAAATGGCCAAACCAACTTTAAACACCAACACATATACTAAAATACAACACATCAAAAGCACCAGCTGAAATAAAAATAGTGTATATAATCATAAAAGTGGAAATCTACATTCCCTGACCTTTAAGATGTCATAAATGTTAAAGATTTGGGCATCATAAAGACAGATTCACTAGAACCCCACTGTGTCCAAAAGGCAGCAGTACAAATCAAGAAACTGAGTGCAAAGGGGACATAAAATGCATAAATTGTAATGAGAAACACCCTGCATACTCACATCTATGTAAAATTTGGCAAAGAGAAAAAGAAATAATTGAGATCAAATATACAAGAAACATAACTTTTCCTGAAGTCATGAAAATTGCTGAAAACGCTAGACAAAATCTTACAAATTATACAAATGTAAATAAAAACCCAACAACAAGTGGTGAGAAATATGATTACTGTGAATTAATAACACTAATTCAAAAGTTTAAGAAATTAATTGGAATAAGGAAAACTGATATCAAGAGTTACACCACATCCCATAATAAAAACTGATATACCCAGTCAAAATATGGAAAATTTGAATTGGTCAAACATAGAAACAAAAAGACCAAAAGAATCATCTAGTTGCACATCTCGATCTAGAGATTCCTCACTTATAACCTAAAAAGGAAGATCTCCAACAAAAAAAAAGCAAGTACAAAAAGCAAGATCATAAGTTAAACAAAAAGAAAACTCTTTAAGGAAGAAATCTTCTAAAATTAACATAGAAAACAAAAAAAACAAGAAAATACTGAACCCTGACAAAAAGGAAATCCTGTAAGGAAAAATCACCTAAAAACAATCCAGAAAAAAATGGAAAACCAAAAACCTCAACTTTAACAATCATAGATAATAAAAACCTCCCGTGGAATACAAGAGAGGTAAAGGCAAATCAAAAGCTGATCTGCCTGCAAAAAACTTTCTTAAAGAATAATGAAAATATAGATATAAAAAATTATACAGCTTACAACTTGATTAATAATAGTTGAAGCAGAGCTTTTGGGTGGTGCTTCTATATTGGTAAAAAATGATATCCCCCCAGAACAAAATTGACATGAATACAACATTACAGAAAGTAGCCATAAGAGCTTCACTTCATAAAACTATTACCATATGCTCTATTTACATATCCCCAAATGATCTTCTAGATGGAGTGGAATTAGACAAATTATTGAAGTAGTCCCCAAAACCCTTTATTCTAATGGGAGATTTTAATACTCCTAATAACATCTGGGGTTTTAGAAACATGAGCCAGAACAGAAGATTAATGGAAGATTTCATCAACAGAAACAATGTCTCTATACAATAACAAGTTGTATACCTACCTTCACCCATCAAGTGGTACATAGGCAGCAATAGATCTAACCTTATGTGACCCTGCAACATATCTAGACTATAGCTGGAAAGTACATTATGATACATGTGGTAGTGATCACTTTCCAGTTGTGTTAGAAAACTCTGGATCTTTGCCAGGTGAAAGAATACCATACTGGAAACTTAAGAAAGCCAGTTAGAAGGAATTTAAAAATGAATGTGCCCTAAAACTTACATCGGAAGCCAATGTGGTCAATGATGACTATATTACTTATTTCACAAAAAGTCTTCTTAGTATTGCAGAATAATTTCTACTAAAATCAAAACCTAAACCTGTCAAACATAGACCTTGGTTTAACAATGAGTGTAAAAAAAACATTCAGATTGTGTTGTGCATCTCCACATAAGTTTAAATTACATTCAACTTAAGAAAACAAGTACAAAATAAACAGAGCTAAAGCACACAGAAGAATTAAGCAAGAACTTTGTATCCAATATTAATTTTAATACCAAAACCAAAACACTATGGAAGATGATCTGTAAAATCACTGGGAAAAAATAAAATTAGCACAAAACTTTTCTTAAAATTCTTCCTCAAAAAATTCTAGTAAGCTATTTCAGAATATCAAAACAAGAGAAGAATAAATTAAATTTCCATTCTAACAATAATAAAAATTACAACCAGGCTCTTACTTTACCAGAATTACTAAATTCTATAAGAAAATTACACAATTCAGCAGTTGGCCTAAATAAAATTCATTATGAATTAAAAAAAAAAATTACCAAATGTTTCCTTGTACTACCTACTCAAAATTCTTAATAACATATAGGTCAGTGGTAATATTCTCAGTTACTGGAAACAAGCTACCATAATTCCAATCCTGAAACCTAGAAAGTACTTAAAAAATATTCCTCAAACTATAATCCAATTGCACTTACGAGTTGTTTATGCAAAACATTTAAAAGAATTGTTGATAATAGGCTTACTTGGTTTCTTGACACTAATAATAAAATTACAAATTTCCAAGCTGGCTTCATAAAGAATAAAAGCACAATCGATCACCTGATTCAACTGGAGTCTTTTATCAGAAATTCTTTCATTAAAAATGAACACTTAATGACAGTATTCTTTGATCTGGAAAAAGCCTCGGAGATATGGTACCATGAAAGACTTAAATGAAATTGGACTTAAAGGAAGACTATCAATTCTTATTAATAACTTCCTGACAGAATGAACCTTTAATTTTCATATTGATATAAAACTATCAGACCTATATGAACAAGAAATGTGTGTTTCTCAAGGAAGCATATTATCAGTGATATTCTTCAGCATCAAGATAAATGGCACCATTAAATGCTTGAGCCCTGGAGTTGACTGTTCACTGTATGTAAATGATTTTCTAATATGTTATAGATAAAAAAATATCCATACAATTGAACAACTTTAACAGTGTCTCAATAAAGTAAATAAGTAGGCCATAGAAAATTGGTTCAGATTCTCCAAACAAAAATCACAATTTGTACACTTCTCCAGCATAATCCTGAATTAAGACTCAAAGCTATAGATGTGCCTGTAGTAGATCAATACAAATATCAAGGAATA